GGCTCAGCGTGGTCTAGGGAGGAGGGCAAGGACACACAGCTATGAGGCAGTAAAGCTTGTGTCCTGCTCCTGGGATCACGATCTCCCAATGAGTGCAGCTATCAATCAAGAGGGCCAAGGACCCCCAATGAAGCTCCCAGCTACTCCGTAAAAGAGCCCCCCCCCAAGGGCTGTGCATGGGGCCCAGGCCTGCCATTCAAATTAGCAGTGAAACCTGAGTGTGATTCAGGCACCCACAGTGCACCCCACTGAAAACGCCCTAAAGTGGCTTCCCCAAGCCACCGCTGAGATGATCCCTGCAACTTTAGGTTGTATCTGGGTCAAGAGAGCAGTGGGGAGACGGCAGGCCCTGAGAGAGGTTTGCTAAATGCACAAAAAGAGAACTAGCGGGTGAAGCTTCCTCTACACTTTCCCTAAAAGCCCAGGGACGACCCTGGCCAGATGCTGCTTATCAAGCCTCACCTAAAGACTGCATCTTGGAACAGATTTTTTTCAGTGCTTCTGACCAAAAGGAAGTTTCTTTTTTCCAAAGACAACAGTTTTCCTTCATTTAGATCAAGGGGCAAACTATAGCCTATGGAGCCACTGCCAGTTCTTATAAATAAAGTTTTATTGGCACACAGCCATGTCCATTCACTTACATATCGTCTCTGGCTGCGTTCCAGACGCGGCGGAAATGACAAGTCTGGACAGAACTGCACATGATCCCCACAGCTGAAAATATTTACTAGCCAGCCCTTGATAGAAATAGTTTGCCAATCCTTGATTCAGACACAAATAGCATGCACTCAGCATGCTGTGAGTTAAATTTAATGTTAAATTTTAGTAATGAATTCATCCTCAATATTATGTGCCTGTATGTTCTGATCTCCTGATTCCATTCAAACATTTTATGTAAAAAAAATAGCTAATATTCCCTGAGTGCTTATTCTACGTCAGGCACTGAATTAATCCCTTCAATATGCTCTCTTATTTAATTCTCACGCTAAACCCACGGGGAAGGGAATATTATTATCCCCAATTTATTGAGGAGAAATGAATGAGGAAAAGTGAATGAGTCATCAACCGTTTGCATAGTGGGAATACTGACTATTTCATCATTTACTCTGAGAGTTTTAAAGGGGTTGATTGGAAAACTCGGGGTGCTCAATAAATGTAAGAGCCAGCAGAGCTGAGGCCAGTCACCAGATGCAGAACTACAGATCACACAGCACGCGGGCCTGGGATTTTTGTTTCCAAGCTAGTTCAGCATGAGCTGCACAGTCACTTCACCGCGAATCTTCTGGGCCTGGGGGTACTGAGACGGCAAGGCCGGCGTGAAGGGGCCTGGGACACAGGCTGACAGGCGCTGTCTCTGGTCATGTGGCCAGAGCACACAAGTACCACAAACAAGAGAGAGGACCCACGTGCCAAATGCAGCCCTCGCCGGAGGGCCATGTCCACCTGCTGTCACACCTTCATATTTTTGCAGAATATCTACATCCTAAGCAGTCCCATCTGCAGGAACAGAGGCCCCGTGTGCCAACGGTGGTGTTCTCCGAGTTTAATTCAAGTTAAATAAAAACAATTACTGTTTTTTAAAAGTCTGTTCCTCTATAACCTGACAGTCTTGCTGGCTCATGAATATTCAAAACGCTGGCCCAGCAGGAAGCTGAAGGCAGAGGGACTGGAGTCTCCTGCTTCGTCCTCCCCAGAGATGGGCTGGGGGTGTTCTAGTTCTCTGAACCTCGGCTTCTCAGACCTCTGTGGAGGGCCATGCCCGCCTCCTGCACAGGAAGGTTAACAGGCACATGCCAGGTTAACAGTGGGCAACCCCACAGCTGTTTACTAAGGAGCCCTGGTCTCCACTCAGACTAGAGACTGATCACAGCCTCCACTCTCTGTCACCCTTTGCGAGCCCCAAGGGCCCGGCGCTTAGCCATCTCGGGGAATGCTGATGTGGGTGTCTGTGGAGGTGGTGGGCAGGGCTGCATCCCCTAGCCCCAGACTAGAGGCTGTGACGTCCATCATACAGGGGCCCATAAGTAAGTCCAGGTAGGGCCTGCTCCAGTGGCAGTCTGGGTAACAGGACTCCTCCTAGCAACGAGAGTCAGACTGGTAAGCGGTAAGGATCAGGCCAAGCCTGTGTGCTAGAAGCAAGCTGCAAACCTGTGCAACACAAAGGGGAACTGAAGGCGGCAACACAAGTCCAAGAAACAGCAGCAGCAGCACCAGGAGAACCAGCAGCAAGCACGGGCCTCAGTACCAGAACATGGCACCAGGCCAGGACCAGCCACCAGCAGCGTCAATATCACCAGCAGCATCCCTAGAACCACCGCAGTACCAGCACCAGCACCAGCAGCAGCAACACCAGCTCCAGCACCAGCAGCACCAGCAGCACCAGCAGCCCTGCTCACCAACTACCTGATGAGTCCAGGGGGCGCTGGGTCTAGTTTGCCAGTGCCCTGACTTACATCTGTCGCCCAGCTGGTGTGAAAGTGCTCCATTCACTCACAAGTGTCCAACTCAGCAGAGAAATCAGTCAGTGTCTCTACCAATCAGGATACCAAGGCCCAGAGAAGGGCAGTCATCTGCCCAAGGCCACACAGTCACCAGGAGGCCAAAAAAGGGAGTGGTTGCCCTCTCAGCTCCAGGCAGCATGGCCCAGTGACCCAGGGGTCAGACAGAACCAGGATAGCCCTCTTTCGCCTCTCCGTGCTCCAGTTACCACAACTATCAAGAGAGAAGAGGTTGTCCTAACAGCACTGTCCCCACAGGTCTGTCCGGGGATGCAGTGGGCTGATGTCTGCCACCAGCCCCGCACAAAGTGTGGCTTAACACACGCCAGGTATTTCTCCATCTCCATGCATGAGTCTAAGCTCGCCGTGAGGCAGGGGCTCAGAGTGGTCAGAAGGGCAGACAAGGAGAGCTTATTTCTCCAAGGCCTTTCTGGTGCCAAGCCCCCCCGGGAGGAGCAGGAGCAGGAGATAACAGGCCAACACAATGAGGTTGTTCTAGGGAGTAACGGATAAAAAGAGAACGGGGCTGTGGCCATGTGATAGGTGAGGTACAACCGCCACAGTGGGGGGAGCCGAAGACAAGAAGGGGTGCAGAGAACCTGGGAAGGCAGAAACTGTCCGGGGTCTCTCCCCCACTCATGTTTCCAGCTGAGCCCCTCACCCACACCAGCCCAGTCCCGTCTCCCAGCTCCTATTACTAAGACGCAATGAATAAATGAGTAAGATGCCTACTGTGTGTTTCAGCTCTGAGCAAGACAGTACATCGCCTGGCCTCAGAGCGATGCCTTTCAAGTGCGGGAGAAAGACAGGAAACCAATGACTGGTGCATGAACATCCGATTCTAACCCACGAGGAGCAGTGACCAGACTCTGCGAGGTGACAGAGCGGCACTGGTTCCGGGAGAAGCCTCTCCGAGAGGAGGCTCAAGACGCGCGGAACTGGGAACCCAATCAAAATGAAGCCTCAGGCCCCACCCAAGAGCCAGGTGGCCGCAGGTGACCTCAGCACTTGGGCCACCAGCTGCTCGAGTCTCCACTGTCCTGGGGGCAGGCCCAGGCTGAGGCCACATCCCTACCCACTGCCACGCAGCCCAGGGCCAGTCCTGCTGTCCACTGAGGAACCACAGAGGCCCTCCCCGGCCAGGTCCAAGTGGGGCTGCCCCCTCCCTTCAGCTGACCCAGGCACTGTCCCCAGTCTACTGCTGACCTGCCATCCGGCCTTTCCATGGGCCCGGGGACTGTGACCCTTGACCATCTGTCCACGCCAACCAGCAGTGCCCGGTGCAAAGTCTAGCACTGCCCGCCTGGCTCTGCTCAGGACTTCAAGGCCCAAACAACCCCTCTCCTTCCCAGAAGTCCTCCCCATGCAACAGTGACCCCTACCGGGGTTGGGGGCCAGGCCCCATGCTGAGGGCCAGCACAGGACCCTCGATTTTGTGATCCTTGATGCCAACGCTGCGCAGGATGGAGTAACTTCACCCCTATTGAAAAGAGGAGCCAGGGATCCACCACCGCACACACCGTGGGCCCAGAGGAGGGTCACCTCAGGCCTCGGCCACAAAGGGGCCTGCCTACACCCCACTCTGGGCTTCTACACCTGAACACAGAGCCGGGAAACCAGGCCCCCCACACCCCACTACGGGGATGACAGACACCAACTGAGGAAGTGATTACTTCTGAGGGGAAGAAGGCGGATGACATCGGGAGAGACACGGAGGCGCAAGTGTGTGTGCAGCGGGTAGATTCCTTAAACACATCTGAGGCCAACACGGAGACAGGTCAGGTGGTAGGCACACAGGCGGTCGTGCGAGGATCCTGTAATCTCCGTGTGCTTCGGAGTTCATTCAAAACACTAAGCAGCATTGTTTTAAATGTCTGCACATCTCCTTAATGTCTAGTCAGTACAGTTGGAGTCTCCTATCTGCTGCAGCAGTCAATCTTTCATAAAAAAAACAAAAATGTCTGAAGACCTAGTCAAAAAGACACTACAAAGACTCAATAAATGTTCGCTGAATTAAAAAGGAAGCCATGCCCTGTGCCACCATCCCTGTCCGCCCTCTGTCTTCACACATTAGCAAGGCTCGGGAGAGAGGACCCTGCACGATGCTGTGCCTTCCAGACACAGAGCCAGCCCAGGGGGGCTGTGTCCTGGGAGCTGACAGTCCACCAGCCGGAGACACACAGAAGCCAGAAAAATCAGTAAATCATGTCCCATGACACACATCGGCCTGGGGGGCAGTGGCAGCTCCCAAAAGCACCTTTCAAGTTCCATCTGTGCCCCCAGCACCAGCCCTAGCCTAGCCCCAGCCCAGCCCCAGCCCAGCCCCAGCCCAGCCCCACCTCCCTACTCCTTCGAGGGCAGCTGCGTCCCACGTGTACACCAGGCCAGTGGGCCCCACAGCCCAGGTGATCGCTTGACAGAACAAGCAGGGGGCGCATGCTCATATCTGAGACAGGCCCTACATTTCAGGGGAGCGGGTCCCGGAGGGCTGACAGGACCCACCAGTCACTTCTGTTCCAGACAAGGCCGAGCTCCGGTCCCCCATCCTCCGTGTTCCTCCACAGATTCTCTCCAGGCTGCAGGCATCCACTCGGCCAGGGCCTCCCTGAGTACCCCACAAACGTGCAGGGTGTGTTAATCCAGACAATGCTTCCACCAGCTCCTTCCCCAGGTGGCCAAATATCACTGTAAATCCAGCTGCCTCTAAAAATCCTTCAAGGAAGTTCCATGCAGCTGACAGGCTCTGCCATCAGGAGGGGTGTCTTTGTAATTCCTTTCTGGTCAAAAGATCAGGCCTAGGAAGAAGAAGAAGAAAAGTTGACCTCGTTACAAGCACAGACCCAAAGCAATAGTCAGTTTCCCTTCCTTCCTTAGAGCTGACCCTGCTATACTCAGGAACTCACTAGAAGTCAGTCCCTACAGCTGTGCGGAGGCGGGAGTGCTAAGAGTCTTAGGGATGTGGCCTCCCACTGGCACGCAAGACCTCTCAGATGGCAGAACTTTCTACTTCTCAGGGTTCCTCAGAACTATCTCGGTAGTGTGGCCCGGGCTAGGGCATGTCCACTCTAAAGCCGAGGATAGAAGTTTTCAAAAAGTTTTGGGGCTGGCTCGAGGAGTTAATGGCACAGGCGGGTCTGGCACACAGCTCAGGACTCCTTCCCAAGGCTCCAGCTGAGAGGGTTTCGGGTCAGCTGGTCGGAAACACTTCTTTGTTTTGTTTCTTTTTGAAGACCCTGGCAGGCCTCCAAGCCTCAAGCTGCACCCTGAGCCTCTTCAGGGCAGAACCTAGGCCTTTTACTTTTCTGTCCATTCAGCCATTCCTGAGCACCTTGCTGGGGTGCAGCGGCCTCTCAGCTCCTCAGGGACACTTGTCTCCGTCACCCAGGGCGGTACTTAGCCGAATCTAAAGAACAAATCCACCCACAGCTCACAGGACCGCAGGCAGCAGTCACCGCACCCAATAGTGACAATGACCCACCGTCCTGCCAAGAGCCTGTTCAACCTCTGATATGATCCCCAACCACCCTGGGACTCCTGCCTCTATTTCCCAGATGAGGAAACAGGGTGCAGAGAACTACCTGCTCAGACTAGTAAGAGTGGAGCCCTAATCTGAGCCCCAACAGTCTGGGCCTGAGTCCATACCCCGACTCATCTCTGTGAGACCAGGCTGGAAAACTCCCGGGAACAGCTGGAGCTGAAACTTAGGTCAGCAGCTCACCTGCTCAGAGTTCTCAGCTGCCCCACCCCTTGACCCTGCACGTTCCAGCTTCTGTGAACCAATTTTAAGATGAGACACTTGATGGCTCTAAGACATTAGGCAACTTGCCCAAGTTCACGCAGCTAGAAAAGTCACAGACCGGGGATTTAAAGACAGGCAGTCTGACCCCAAAGTCCATGAGTTTGACCATCACACCAACTGCCATTACCAGTGACGATGATCGCAATAACAACTTTTCAAATACCGAATGGTATAACAAACACAAGTTCATCTCCTGACAGTTCTGGAGGGCAGAAGTCCAACACGGATCTCACCAAGTTACCAGCACAGGGTTGGCAGGCTGCATTGCTTTATGGAGTCTCCACAAAGAATCCAGCTTCATGCCTTTTCTAGCTTCGAGAAATTGTTCTTTGATGCCTGGGTTTATGGCTCCCTTCCTCTGTCTTCAAATACAGCAGTACAGCCTCTCTCTGACCCTGCTCCACCCACACCTCTTTCTCTGACTCACTCTTCTATCTGTGTCCCCACTTGTTAGTACCCACATAGTTTGCCTGGGCACACCTAACACAGGCCCCGATCCTCAATCAGACCTGCAAGGTCCCTTTTGACAGGTAAGGTAACAGTTACAGGCGCTGGGAACAGAACTTGGACATCTTTGGGAGACCATTGTTCTGTCCACATGACTGCCACAGGCAGCCACGCTCTGTTTAAGGCTCTCAGTAACCAGGGATCATCCATCGTCGATATGTAAATCAAGGTACCTACCTATTCATCCCTGCCCCCAAACACTCACACAGACACACACTTGCACATACACCTGTCAATTAAAAATAAAAAACATAAAAGAGGAGCCTCCCTGGTGGTGCAAGGGGTTAAGATGCAACCTATGAAGCTATCCACAACCTCTGCAGCACGAGTTCAAGACCCCGGCCGGCGAGGGAGCTACCCACATGGCTTAGCAGACCTCTCCTGTCTCGCCCACTGCTCCCCTCAGCAGTGTATTTCAGTCAGTCTGCCTGTTCTGCTCCCCACTCTGTCTCTGGTGAATCCTCTCAAACACCCTCAACTGGCCTGTACCCCAGCTTTTGTATGCATAAATAAAATAAAAAAATAAAATAAAATAATAGTAAGGCATGCTTTCTTCCTTAAAAAAAAAAATTCCAATGCGCACTCACTGCTCCTTACAATGTCTGAGTATCCACAGTCCTCATCTGCAAAAGTAAAAATGACCCCAGCCACATGAGGTTCACACCAAGATCTGTTGTTTTTAGGGTTGGCAGGGGACACCTATTGAGGAGGTCTTTGCGGGTAACAGAGTGATGCTAAGTGCATAACACGTTATCCCACATGCTTCACTGCAGTAGCTCCTGAGGGAGGAAGACGTGGTCCCACCACCTGCCTGCTCTACAGATGACGCTCCCAAGGCTCACACTTAGAGGGGAAGCGCTGGGGTCCCACCCAGGTCGGGTCTGACTCGGAGATACACCCTCGCTTAAGAGAGGCAGTGTTTCTAAAAAGTTCACTTTCAGCAGTGGCTGAGTAGCAACTATTAGACTAGCAGTCTCATAACTACAATAAACTGTGTGTAAAATCTCTTTGAAAGCCATCTCAAGGCACAGAGTAACCAAAACCAGGGTCATCCTGGAGGGGAATGGACACTTGGGAGGCAGGAAGCTTAGCACTGCAATGACATTCTCCCTATAGGTCATGGCTGAAGCATCAAGGCAGCTGGGCTCACAGTACCAACTGAGGATGGAAGGAGAAGTTCCAGGAGAAATGCCCAGAAGGGACCCCAACTTCCAAGTATAAACCCCTCCCCAGGCACCCAGGGCCCTCGGAATGAAGCTGGTACACAGCCTGTTAAAAATGCAGAAATAAACAGAAATTTTCACTGATGCCCACTGCAAGTGAGAGAGTTTGGAATTTGAGTTTATTGAGTTAATTACCTTGAAAATAAAACCATACACCTGGAGGAACAAAAGACATTTATAACATCTGTGATGCAGCAAAAAAAATCACCAAATAACAAAAACCACACAAGAAAATATAACCCACAACCAAGATAAAGACACTTTACGGAGACTGCGGCTGTCTCCAAGGCCACGCGGTGGCTGGAATCAGCAGAAAAAGGTTTAAAGCATCGTTTACGACTCTTCTCAAGGACCTAAAGGAAAATATATTCTCAGTGAATGAAAAGACAGGAAACCTCAGCAAGGAAAGACAAACAATAAAAAGGTCTAATGTAAATTCTAGGGCTAAAAAACAAGCCAAACGGAAACACTTATTGGATGCACTGAAAAGCACGTTGGAAAGGAAAGAAGAATGAGTGGATTTAAAGAGAGAGCAATGGAAGTTATTTGATCTGAAGAACAAAGAAAAACTTATTTTAAAAACGAAGAGAGCCTCGGGAACCTGATGGACAATATCAGAAAATCGATGGGACATGTAATGTTAGTCCCAGAGGAAGAGAACAGGGCAAACGTTCAAAAGCCTGGTGAAAACACGGCTGAGTTATTTTAAATTTGGTGAAAGATGTCAATGGACAGAAGCAAGAGCATGAGCCAAGTCTGTGCAGGGTGCTTGGAGCCGGGCGCCCCACAGCACAGCCCTGCACTGCCAGAAACCAGCGGCTGGACACAGCGTGGAGGCAACCAGAAACACCAGACTCCAGTGACGACTACAAATGACAGAATTCTACCTGGACCCAACACGTGCTCCACAGGTGAGCGCGTCTGGTCCCTTTAAACCTGCCTGGCACGACTCTTCCACGGCAGAAAGAAGGATTAGCAGGAAGCCCAAGTGCCTAAATATCATCCCTGAGAGAAAGCAGAGGAGCATTTAAAACATTTCATTCGTGGGCCTCCCTGGTGGCGCAGGAGTTAAAGTCTCAGCGCTATCAAGCTATTTATTGTCAGCCACTGCAGCACGTTCGATCTCTGGCCAGGGAGCTGACCCACAAGGCGCAGCAGACCTCTCCTGTCTCACCTGCTGCTCCCCTCAGCAGTGTATTTCAGTAGAACCACCTGTTCTGCTCCCCACTCTGTCTCTGGTGAATCTCTCACCGCCTCCCCCCGCCACCACCCCCACCCCCCCACCTCTGGCTTGCACTCCAGTTCTTGCATACATAAATAAATAAACTAAATACAGTTCTAGGTCAAACTACCAGATTTACTGATTAAGTTCCTCTGGGGAAGTGTTTACCCCTCAGTTTCCTGATCTGCAAAATGGGGGGATTACCAGGCTGGCAGGTAACAGTGGTCATGGGCATGTCACATGCTGCCAAGCAGTCAGCCAGCATTTCACGTACTGAGTGATGAGGCCTCCCGCCGCCCAAGGGAGGACTGTGGCTGGACTCTCAGAGCTGCCCCCCTTCCACCAGCTCCTCCTTAAGCCACCAAGAGCTCCAGCTGGAAAGCAGGGGAGCACCCGGTGCCAGTCAGCTCCCCCAGCAGGAGGGGGGCCACAGTGGTCCCTGGCAACAGCACAGGGCAGTACTGGCCCCGGCTCATGGCCGCCAGGAGAAGGGGGGCAGAGCCTGTTAAATATTGATGGAGGCCCACAGGCAAGTCCCAGGCCAGGTTTGTTTTGCTGGGTTGGGGACATTGCAGCTCCGTCACCCGGGGAAGAATTACTGCACGGTCTGCTGGGCATTACTGCTGCCGGGCGGTGGTCCCTGACCAAGGGCAGGGCCGGCCACCGTGGGCTCCACTGGCAAGAATGCAGGATGCAGGGCCCGGGCACCGGACCTCCAGCCACACCCTCAGCCACTCTCCCCTCTCAGGAGCAGTCACGGTCTCTGCCACTGGGGGGTTTTTGGGCCGTTTGCTCTTTCTGTAACAGACTGGCCAAAACCAAAAGGATAAATCCCACCCAGGACTGGCTCTGACGTGGCCCTGGTCCTCCTGCACATGGTGGAGAGACATCCTGAGCTGGGGGTTTAGGAAACTGCTGGTCACGGAAAGTCAGATATCAGGCAACCCCAGGTCCCATGAGCTCCACGCCTGGGCACGGGCTGGCTCTCGGAATCCATGCCATGCTCACCCAGACACGTGGCTGCCGGTGCCCAGCAGGCTCACC